TAGTTGTGCTGGCATGCCATTTGTTTCGTAGCGTAGCAGCAAGGGTGGGGAAGGCGTTTTTAAATGGAAGCCGCTCATGGGGCCGATACTATGATGCTGAATCTCTGTCAGCTGAGTATCAGGCAGGAGCAGGTGTTAGAGATGCTTTTCAATGTTGGCAAAGAGAGTAAAGTATCTTTCCATTTAGATTCAGCCATGACAAACTATGCGAAATACGTATTTATTTGACAGTATTGCTCGCTGATGTCGATGCTGGTACACGTAGTATTTTTGTTTACTTGTCGGCACTTTAATTTTCCTGACGTGGACGACAGGACAAGAAAATTTAAATAAGAAATGAAACAACAGGTGATAGAAATGATACTAAGTCACCTGTAAACCACTCCTCTGTCTCTTCCCTTCTGACTGTAACCTCTCCTTCCTCCTCACATCACGAAGTGCCTCTCTCTCTCTCTCTCTCTCTCTCTCTCTCTCTCTCTCTCCATGTCCTCCTTTTCCTGTTCAGCTCCTCCCTGCAGCTGTCCTGTTGCTGTTGTTGTCCTTGTCCTTCTGTCTGCCAGTGTCTGGGAGAGCTAAGCCAATTCCAGCCCAGATTACAGTAATAAAATCACTGTGAGGCTGGGGATTAAGGCTTAGGCTTCTAAACACACTGGTAGTAGAGAGAGAGAGAGAGAGAGAGAGAGAGAGAGAGAGAGAGAGATAGAGAGAGAGAGAGAGGGAGGGGGGGGTGGAGGAGGCAGATAGAGAGAAGGTGAGCAGGTGAATAAGAGGCCAGGTGGGGGTTGGCACAGTTAGTGTGATTTCCTGACCACAACAGAAGGATTAGGATTTAGAAGTTAGTAACACGAGTGTGCGCGCTCACAAATCCATGACATAATGTGAAAAGAATCAATTAGAGTTACGCCAGCTCTGACAAAATCGTGCATAATGATTACTGGGTCATTATATTGTAAAGAGCAGGGCACAGGTTTAATTAAATAGATGTATCAGGGACCATACACGTCTCAATTAAAAAATTTAACTCGCACATAAAAATTGTTTTTAAAAAATTGTAGCGTTTCTGACGGCTATAATTTATCAATTCAGTGCGTGTCTGTGTATCTCATTAAAGCAAGACTATGTGACTTTTGCTGAGCAGCGGCAACAGCAGCCTCTGCAGCCACATGAGGTAATGACAGAGCGCCGTCACATTTAAATTCTGTTGGGCTCAGAGTCTTCTCATATAATCTCAGTCAGACCCACCATCGGGGGTCGAAAGGGTAGAGATGACTCCGGCCGAGGGGAGTGATATCGCGAAAAGAGAAAACCCAGCTTTATTCGCATGACATCACTCAGTGGAAACAGATTTGTGATTGTGTTTTGTCGACTTTTCTATAAGAAAAAAAAGAAAAAAAAGAACATACATACATGGGAGGGAGGATTGTCGTTGTCGTTTCCCACAGAGAAGATGGCTGACAGAGCAGCTAGTCAATATCAGCTGCTCATACAAGAAGATAACGACGCTGAAGGTTTTCCTTAATCCAGATTAATACTGAAAAATCTTTGTTGATTTAAAGGGATCGTCCTGAGGAGGCACAAGGACAGTTCGGACCAGAGGTATTAGCAAAACAGAGAACATAGAAACTTAAGAAGACATGGGAAAGCCGAACAGTGTGTTTAGCTATCCAATTTATTTCTAGGATTGAAGATGTGGTGCTGTGGCAGCAAGAGAGGGTCAGGCAGGGATAGCTGTAGCCAGTGAAGAGCGAGATGTAGGAGAGGAAGAGGAGGAAGAGGACGGCAGCCAACACGCAGCAGTGGAAGAGCCAGCGAGGTCGGAAGCAACAGGTGAGATAAACAGCAAACCCAGAGACAGAGCTGTGTAATGTTCAGTTATTTATCTGTGACCATGGTGGTGCTGATGCCGGATGTGGGAGTGGATGAGGGGCCCAGTTTGGAAGACTTTGCCCCCCCCCCCCCCCCCCCCCCCCCCCCCCCCCCGTCCTGTGCAAACCAGCAACTGTGTTGTCCACCCATGTCAGCATAGAGCTAATCTGATAACAGTGACCGGAAACAGCCGAACCCACAGCAGTTGTGTGCTAAACTGTAGCTGCCAGCAGCTACATTTACACCGGCTGAGGAAAGGAGGCCGTTACCCAACAGGTGAATTTGTTCCACTGATGTCACACTCCACTTCTGCACACGCTGAGGGAAAAAAGTCTGGTGACTGCTCGATGTAGCTTAGCTTCGTTGATAACACACATTGTTGCTGATGTCTGGTAATAAAGTTCTAACAGTCAAGTAAAAGCAAAATGTCTTTCTATTTGTAGTGGTGCATTGTGACTGATGTTTACCTTACTAAGGACTACGGATGTAAATTATAATTTTTGCTACAACCTGGCATGTTTACATTGTGTATTTTGTACTGATGTTCATTAACATGCATTGTCCCTATCAAATAAATAAAATAAATAAATAAATAAAAGAAAAATGTGCTTACTCTCAGTTAAAATTTCCCTTTTTCCCTTTTATCTGTTAGGCAGCCTTATCTAGCAGCTCCCTGTGTTTGCTCACCATCTGGTCTTTCTGTACAGTGTGTGACATCTCCAAGCAATCAATAAGGGTGCTCCTCTGGGTGGTCAATTATAACGTAAGGGTGGCTTTGAATTGTGTTCCCTCAAGATCAAAAGACTGTGCACCACCAACCAAAACTAATGAGACACACACACACACATATATATATATATATATATATATATACACGTTTCTGTCTCCTCTTCCCTCTCTCAAACACACACACAACTAACGTATCTGTGACGATTAGACACTACGTGCCCTCACGTCAGCAGTGCACCCAAAAAAATCTCTCCTCTTTAGTTATTTATAAAGTCTTTTTTTGTCCCGGAGTTAAAATAAAAAAAAAAGGGGGTCGCGGGAAAAAAAAGGAGGGGGATGAGGGGGCCGTGAAGGAGGGTTAAGTGAACAAGAGGAAGGCAGGCTCATTCTCATCCATCTCTTCTTCTCCTCTATTATTCATCAGCCTCTTCTCATCCCTCGTACAGCATGCTGATGGAGGATAAAATAGGTCACAGAGGGATAGGCTGGTGCTCGCACAGTGACTGATGTCTTGCCTGACATACTGTGCACTCGCCCCCTCCTACTTCCCTGCATCCCTCGCTCCTCTTCCTCTCCCTTTTACTTCCCTGCTGCTGCCGCCACCGTCGTGTCATCCCATCTTTCTCACCTGCTCGCTCTCTCTCTTCCCCCGTCACTGCTTCTCCCTGCTCTCCATCCCCTCACATCCCTCCCGTCTTTTGATGATTCCTGAATTCTGTCATTCCTCATCTCAGCTCACGGTCTTCTCTCTTTCTCTCTCCCCAGTCTCCTTCTTGCTTGTTATAGAGGAGTAAAACTCAGACAAAGGAAATGTGTTGCCGCTAACTATCTGCAGGGAGCACACCGAACAAATATGGATCTTGCTATAGGAGGGGAAAGAAGGACCCGGTAAGCCAAAGTTGTGGGAGAAAACAACTTAGCTGGCACGAGTATAGAGCAGGAAAGTTCAATCAGAGGGAAAGAAAAGACAGAGGCATGTTTTTATATGAGCAGTATTACTTGGTGTACTAGTCTCTGAGCTGTCATAGCTCACTCTCCACCTGTGAGACTGACTGCACTAACAAAGGCGTCCACTAGATGGGGACAAATCCTATTCAACTATACACACACATACAAGGTACAGGATGGATATTGGAAGTGCTGAAAATTAGATTTCAGAAATATTTGCACCGTAAACAAAATGTAGTTTGATCATTTATTTATTTCATTTAACTTGTTAATGACTTTTGTTATTCTGATGGAGTTTCTGAGCTGTCCTCATCATGATAGGTTTGTTATGTTTGTTGTTCGCTGGACTGCAAGAGGAGGGTCATGAATGTCCATGGTTGACTGACTGACTGACTGAATGATGAAGTTACATCATCGGTCGGCCGAGCGTTGGACTCTTCCCATTGGCCATTGCTCTTTCAAAATGATTAGGTGCAAACTGTTTCCATTACGTTATCAGGGAGTTTGACTTGTTTCAACATGTTTTACCCACAATGGGCTTTAAAGCTGCACTAATGAATCCTCGATGGAGAGTTTTAGGCGTCTTTCATTTTAATGTTTTGGTTTTCTGGCATCCAACTGTTTTGGTTCACTCTCTCACCAACCTAACTTCCAGCAGCAGCAGACAGCTGTTTGATAAATCCACAGTATCCTACCTGCCTCACGACATACAGCAGTTTTTGTGGAGCAGTGTTTCAAGCACAAACATATTTATCTCAGGAGTCGTTGGAGACTAGAACAGAGCTAAAGTAGAAACATGACTCCAAGTGAATGCTAATGTTGCTCCATATCTGCTGGATGTGTAGGCCTTAACTGTAGCTAATGTTTGCTAACATGGTAACTATTACAACTTTAGAAAGAGATCATCTGTCAGCGTAGTGTTTACAGTTTCTTCTGATGTATGCTTTACGACTCTGGTCTCAAAACTGACAGTGGTTTTTGGCTTTTTTGAAAAAAGTCTCTAAACTGAGCGACAAATGAGCAACTTATACAAACTGTTTACACTAATTCATTGTGAAAGCGCAACGGCCAATGGAGAAACTCCAACTCAGTCACGTGGTATTCAGCTGACCAGTGGTGGAACTGTGATCACTCAACTTTATCACTCAGTCAGTCACAGACATTCACAATTATAGGGCCGGCCCCGCTGCTGCGGTCCAGCCAAAAATATCAGCATTAAATATCATATTATCAGAGCAGTCAATGTTGTCAATGAGTTATTTTATTAAAAATGAAAACCGTTGAGCTTGAAAAACCTTAATAACCATAATGCACAGGTAGACCTACACATTAAAAAAATTGAATAAAGGCAAATTTCATTTGATCAGTTGGAGGATAGTTAAATATTTTTTGTTTTGTTTTGAAATTTCACCTTTACTGAATTATTTGCAGTACTGTTACAAAAATATTTTACACACACACACACACACACACACACACACACACACACACACAAACAGTTTGGCATATTCCACTACTGGTCTTCATAGAAGACTTTAGCCATGGCGAGGGCAACCTTGGCGACCTTTTTGTCCTTGGCGTCGGCGCCCATGTTTGCTCGTGCCAGTCCTATCCAGTACTGCTCTGTGCGGATCTGGTAATCCGTCACATTCTCCCCCTCCTGCACCGCTGGGTGCTCTTCTTCATCTGGAAACACACAGAGAGGTTAAAGGTGCTTGTTCAAAATATCACGGTCAGATTTAATGAGAACAGCTGCAATCCAGCTGTTTTTCTGCCAAATCTGATGGCACAGAGACTGGTGAGTAGAAGCTGCCAGTGGGCTGGTTTGTTTACAAAAACCAGATTCATTTGTGTTACATTGCTGCAAACATCTGTTAGAGGAACACAGACAAACACACAGCTACAACTAAAGCTCATATGACTGACAGACAGGCAGACAACACAGACAACCTTTTGTATGTGCATCATAGAAAATACAACTTTCAAGGTTAGAATTTACCAGGCTGTTGGTTGTTGCAGTGTTTCTGGAGCTTCACACACATTAGAGAGTAAAAGTCAGGATTATAGCTCCAACCAATACTGTGTTTCTGAGGCAGTTACCTCTGGAGTTTAAACATGTAATAGCCATATTTTAGGCAACTATTCATCTTTTAACATAATATTAATTAACAAAATATTTCATCGGGATCCCACATTTGGTTTTGATTACATATAAATGGGGATAATGGTGCACATTTTCACACCATCTCTCCTGGAAGGCATTCATAGTGTTGTGCTCCATTGTTCACGTGAAAAGTGACAGAAATAGACAGTAGAAAATAGACTGAAAAAAGCAAGTGTGAAGGAGCATGCGCTTATTTATTTTTTTTACCTCCACACAGCTGGGCTATCGTGGAGTGAAGTGGCTGTGAATGTTTAATGTCGAGCATATCCTTATCTGAACAGTGTTCTTGTTGCTCATTATGAATCACATGAAAAGGAAGAGAGATGAGTGTTAAGACAAAAAAGAGGCTGAATTAATCCCTTGCCTTCCTCATCCTCGCTTTCCTCTTCAGACTCCTCCTCCTCTTCCTCCCCTTCTGGTCCTTTCGCCTCCTCCTCCTCCTCCTCCTCCTCATCCTCTGACTCAGACTCTTCCAGCCACTCCTGTGTCTCTGTGGCGAAAGAATCATAAATCAAAATGAAACCTCACACTCTTCTCTCCCATCTTATCATCACTCAGCACACACTGGCTGCTTTAAGCGACCTGCTGAGGTGACGCTGATTAAATCTCAGATCATTTTTGTTTGCATGTGTAACCTCAGTGTCTGACTCACTTGGATCCATTTCAACCAGAGTCTCCCACCGGTCCATCTTGTGGAGGTCCAGGCAGTAGAAGTCGTTCAGGGTGAACTGGCGGTCCCCGACCTCAAACATCCCCCCATATAGGTAGAGCTTGCCCTGACGCACCGTTGCCATGGCACTGGACCTTGGGCAGGGCTCCACCAGGGGAGCGGAGGCTGAACCTGAAGAGATAAAGACCTACATGTGAGGACATGTGAATTTTAAATTAGTTTAGTGTGTATGTGTGTGAGTATGTGTGTGTGTGTGTGTTTGTGTGTAATCTTGCCATCATCATCCTCCTCCTCCTCCTCCTCCTCTTCCTCATCCTCCTCCTCCTCCTCCTGAGCTCCAGGGATCACTTCCTTGATGGTCATCACTGTGCCGTCCTCGGTGACGATTTCCTTGATGACCTCAGTGAGGTCCTTGAGGTCACCCCCCTCCCCCTCCTTCCCCGCTCCCTCCCCCTCTGCTCCACCCTTCTTCCCCCTTCGTCGTTTCTTCTTCTCCGTCTTGTTTCCCTGAGCAGACACGCAGAAACAAACAATTAACAACCACAGACAGATGTTGGAGCGGTTCGGCATCACTTCACTTTGTAATGATTTGGTCACACGCCAGAGACGCCAGGCAGAACAATACTTGACAAATGTAGGTGAATAGGTATCATCGAGAGTAAGTGAGGAGGATGGATGAATGGAGCAATTCTCAAATGTCTGCTGCAGCTTATTCCATTCAATCCAAGAGCCAAGAGTTTGTATTTTTGATAAGATTAATTGATAAAGCGTCTCAATCCACAAGCTGGCAGGATTTCCCTCTGTTTCTAACAGGAAACAGATTCCACTGGCAAGAAAAAGCAAAGCATCAACCCAGCCTGAACGAATCTCGTCTGCTTCAGTTCCACTGGGGAGTTTTAGTGTAGACCGAGAATTGTAAACCGGAAATAATTGCGAAAATATATATATTTGACCAGCAAAAGCAGCTGAGAGAACGGTAGGATTCAGACTGTGTTTGATCAGTTGCACTGATGCAGATGATCCAATGACTCATTTTGTAACCAGTGAGCATGTGAAGACAAACAAAGGCAATGAGCCGTACAAAGAAATTAAGATGCACTTGCACAAAGCAACAGCATTCATGTGCTATTTTTCCACAAAGAGAGGACGATGCAGTTGGTGCTGGTGTGTGACTTCGCTGCGTAATTTTTACCCAAACACGTAAGTTCGTTGATTCACACTCGTGGCCTTGGAGCTTACCCTGAGCTGGCCGGGGAACCAGCGGTTCTTCACCGTGTCGTACAAGTACAGGTCGTTGTAGAAGTCGCCCTCCAACGTCTCCTCCTCTTCCTCATCACAAACCCCGCCAAACAACACTGCCCGCCCCGCTGGGCCCACCGCCAGGGAGAAACCAGAGCGAGGTGGGGGTTTGTTACCTGAGGGGCTAACCCTGGACCACGACCACTTCTCTGGAAGACAGAGAAACAGACCCGTCACGAAATACATCAGGAAGGACAGGAGCTGGATGATTTCTATGAATCTTTATCAGTTGTGAGTTATTTGTACCTTGGCCATCTTTACCCTCTCGCTTCAGAAGAAACATGTCAGAGTGGATGGTCCCCTTCTCTACGTCCTTCTTGACTCTCTAGATAAACACAAACATTAGTGTTAGATAGAGACCACGATATGAAAAATCAATATAATCAATATGGGGGAGGGACACATGCAGCTATCGCATCACTCACCACTTTAGAGTATCCCCCGTAGATGATGACACCCGTGCCGTCGGGTGTGGAGGTCATCTGACATGCAGAGCGTGGGCAGGGGGCGGAGCCTGATGGAGCCAGGCGTGACCAGGTGAAGGTGTCCAGGGAGAAAGAGTAGACGTCATTGTAATAGATAAAGTCCCTGGGGGGGTGGGGCAGGAGAGAAAAGAGCAGAAACTGAGAAAAAAGTAGAAAACCTGTTGCAGGAAGACAAACCAAAAAGATCTTCAAGCTCCATGAAGCAAGAACAGCAAGAGCTTAATAACAACAACACCAGTGCACCACTACACTGCACAAAGAATATTTCATCCGGATCTGTGATACTTTATACCAGCTGATGCCAAACGGACGAAAGAGGCCAAAGGGGCGGAGCTACAGAGTCAGGTGATACGCTGACATGCGCTCTGACATGAGAGGGAGGCAGGTTAGAGTTTAAGACAAGTCTCTTTTTTTGATACTTATATTAGGAGTCGCCTCAGACATTTTTAGTGCATAATTAAAGTAAAATAAGGGGCTTTAACCACAGATTAAACTACAATCATACTTACATACATTATAGTTTTTATATGTTTGTTTGCTTCATGTAAATTGTCCTTGTCCTTCGCTTGGGTGCTTAAAATCAAAGTTTCTTGCTGCATCAAAATTAACATTATTTTCAAAGTTCACTTGTTAAAGATATCAAGACCGTGATAATGTCACACATTACCTGCTCACCATGATCACCATTAAACAGACCAGCTGTCCTTTATTATTATTCAGTAACTTCTGCCTACCTGGTGCTCTCATGGAAACCTCCAAACACCAGCAGCTGTCTCTTGCTGAGGACCATCCGGTGGCCGCTGCGACCCGACGGACCACCAGGCGCCCTGGAAACACACAACGGTCATTTGGTTATAAACATAAAGTGCACAACACCTCTCACCCATGGGACTAGTTTTACCTGATCAAGTTGAAATTTTATGAAGCTACTAAACTGCATATTACATTATATGATAAATTAAATTACTTAGGATGACCTAATAAATGTATTTTTCATATAATAGTAATAGTCACCCTCAGTTCCCTGTATTCATACATTCAATCTCCTGACCATTACTTCCATTTATCCAGCCTTACATTTATTATTACATCTGTTTTAATGACCGTGTGCACGCACTTGATGTTCTCCCAGGTGTGTGTCGCCAGGTGGAGCACCCAGAGGTCCTTGTAGTGGTAGAACTGTTCCCCATTTGGAGAGGCAAACTCTCCCCCAAACACCCACAGCTGGCCCCCACCCTGGGGAACTACCACCGCCTGAGGGGAGGAGAACAAAGGAGGGAGGGAAGGAGCGAGACAAAGGGGAGGAAGAGGACTGCGTAAACAGAGTGAGATAAGGAGCTCTGATGTCCTCAGATTTAACTGGCTTTCTTGCAACATGATGACATTGCTGATATGTTTCAGTTTCCTCTGATCTGAGCTACAGCAGTCTGCCCCCTTGTGGCTTAAATGACGACTCACATCATTGATCACATTCACATTCAAAAAGGCCTCCCAATGGAAATGTCACCTGCTATTGTGAATCAAATGCTTTCAAATAGGTGGAAATGTGGCATTTGCTGGCAGCGGTTCTAAATCAGATAAAGAAATCACTGTGGTGTTTAAAGGTGAGCTGATAAATTACCAAAACAAACTCAAGGATCCACTTTATGGGCTCACCTGGTGAGAGCAGCGTGGTGGAGGAGGGTTGGGGATCTCTGATTTAACCCAACTGTTCTTCTTGATGTTGTAGAAATACAAATCGTTGTACAGATAAGTCTGCAAAAAAGGAAACAACATGTTTTTACATTGGGAATTTTATTCAGGAGAATTTCTCCTGGAACATGCTGACCAAACTGGGAAAAGGATGAAACATTTGCATCATAGCTCATGAGCTTTACTTCATACACAGTTTGTACATTGGGGATGATTGTGAAACTGTGCTGGTGTGTTTAATATAAAACGAAACTCTGGTTAGTGATTGTTTACGGCGACAACAAAGATTGCTTCCGCTTTATAGAAGTTGCCGTTACTAGGGCTAAATGACCTGATAGACTAATGACCTCATTCAGTGTTTTTCAAAGGACATATTTGGAAAGTCAGCATTAAAAGTGAAAAATGTCACAACTGACAAACGTAGAGAAGCGTGTTTTTGACTACCTTCTTTCCATTGAACAACTCTCCTCCAAACAGGATGAGTTCATCTTTCTCAGGATGGGCAGAGAAAGACGCATTCAATCTGAAACGCAAGAAGAGACATGATTCATGTATAATGTTACAATCTCCCCTGTAAAAGCTTTTTAGCCACACTATCTTTGTGGCCCCAAGGAGAATCATAGACTGAAATATCTCAACAACTATTAGACTGATTGCCTTGACATCCTGATTAGGCGCGGTGATCCCCTGACTTTTCCTCTTGTACCGCCATGACGTTGACATTTGTTGTTTTAAGTTAAATAAAAAAAAACTATTGGATGGATTGCCATGAAATTTGATACACAATCTTTTTAGTGATCCCCTGAACATCCATGTTTTAACTTTAATATCTTTCCATCAGCCTACTTTGTGTTTAGTGCTAAACCTGTTCGGGATGTGTGGGAAAACTCATGATACTCTTCTACAACTCCAAGGCAGACTGGTTTGGTAAATCTTTTCAGCTTCTCCTCTCTGGATAGAGATTTAGATTTCCACAGGATAAGACATAACTTTGTCTCTCATGCCATCAAAATGTTAAATGTTCATTAACCATTAATAACTGGGATGATCATGGATAAGTGACACATTTCCCAAAAGGGAGACTAAAGCAGAAGCTGAAGAAAGCGCAGCTCTTTTACCTTGGTGACGGAGGAGGACATGTTGTCTCTACAACCTGGGTCTTCTTTGCATCCAGATTCTGAAACTCTGCAATTAAAGCCTCCAGATCCTCCTAGAGATAGGAGAAGGAAGGAAGGAAGGAAGGAAGGAAGGAAGGAAGGAAGGAAGCAAGCAAGGAAGGAAGGAAACATTAGAAGGACAAAAACAGAAGTTGCACTAATTCATATTGAGAGATGAATTTTAATGAGCACCTTTAGTAAACGCTGTAGTGAACTGAATAGCTAGCTACCCAGAGAGCTAACACTAGTTTTCACAACATGTTAACGGCCGTTTATGAATATGAACGACAAGCTACAATGCTAAACATTAGCTCCTCTTCGTGACATATGAAAAGGACGAACCGTTAGTCCATGTTCAACGTTACCTCTTCTCGTTTGGACCTCTTTGAAACCTTTTTCTCCATTTTAGCAGCTGTCTTCTCTGCGCCCTTCACCTTCTTCTCTTTCTTGCCTTTTTTGCCCATTTCGGTTGTGATGAAGTGACTGTTATTTTTTTTAATTCCTTGTTTTTTTTAATCAGTTATTTGACTCAATTCAGTGCCGCATGGAAATCCAAACAAACTCGCATGCCGACGCTTTTCCTCTGACAAGCGACATTTACTTCCGGCAACAAACTTGGCGTAAGAACAGCGCGGAAATGCAACAGCGCCCTCTAGCGCGTCGGATGACACGGTGACGGTCAAAGCGAAGAGCAGCATACCACCACACCCTCTAAAATGATGATGCATGCAGGTCATTTTCTTACAGGTCTGATAGCAGCTTGCTGTGCCCTGAAAGATGTAAAAACACACACACACACACACACACAAACCTTTATGGTTGGATACTGAGCAGCTAGAAAAGTTTCGTACAAGTTAATATTTTTTTAAATGAGTGAAAAATTAAATGACAAAAAAAAGAAAATTTTGCCCTGTTAATATAACGTGGGACATATGCATGTATATATATATATATATATATATATATATGACTATACTCAGCACCTCTTTTTAGGTTTAATGGAGCCATTCTGCCACAAAGTCTACTTGTGTGATACCTATAGTGTATAATGTTTTTTTAGTTAGTGGTGGTGTTGTGCTTGGCTGCATCATATTGGGGAGTCTTTTCTATTATTCTGTCCCCCTCATTTACATAAATGGAAAGGACAAAAAAAATTAAAACAACTTTTGTAGTCCAGCAGAACAACACATGTAGCAATTACCTCAATAATAAACCGAAGGATGGATCTTGTCTTGTGGCTTTATGTGTGTTTGATTTGTGTTACTTGATAATAAAATGTATAAGGAAATGCATAGCTAATAAATGACCTTTTTAACCAAATTACATTTCATGTATCAATAAAATGTTACATTTAAACAAACAAACAAACAAATAAATTATGCAACATAACAAAAATATAGCAGCAAGTGACGCTAATGGTGCAGATGGTGATGGTGACGATTCTAATGATGATGATGAAGTTTTGGAGAGGTATTGTGTGTTTTTACACACTTCATGTCCCCATGTGCAGCGTGTTTGAAATGCACACGTGTGCATTTATCTTCAGTGTGTGTGGAATGTCACAGAGAGAAACCGACAGGTACTAATGAGCAATAAAGTCTTGACACCCTGATACAGCATTTTTTTGTAACTAAAGCCTCTCTGGCAGACCCTGCACACACACACACACACACACACACACACACACACACGCACACACACACAGCAGTGATCCATCCTGTTTATTGTAGTTTGAGATCTAACATTTGTCAGTTTTCAATTAAAATATAATGTTTGTTTTTTTGGAAGATGCTTTGGGTCAGGGAAACCCTTTTTTCCAATGATAAATTGAGCACTCTTTAAAAATGGATGACAGTTCACATTACGGCCAGAAGAGGGCAGCTGTGTGTTTCTCTGAACCCAGTCATCCAAAACCTTCACAGAAGACTTGAGCAATAGCATTACAGCAGCACAACCACCCCCAGCTCTATTGTGTATTTTATCCCTTGATAATTAGAGGTTGAGAAATATTTTAGTGTCTGACACTGGAAGAGATAAAATATCCAACTAAGCTGACACCTAGATATTGAGTAATGATCCTTTCTTTTCCAAAGGAATATTACCCAGAATTAAATGTGCTGCTCGAATTATTGCTCAAGGTGGCTGATATAAATTGCTTTCACAATACAAGTGAGGATTTATGAATCTCCTTTGAGTGGATCGGTCCTCTCAGGTTAAATGGCAGCGTTATCCCTCATCTCCATCACTTGTAATTATTTCATATCTATTCACAACAATAAAAAAATGGAGGGGACAATGTTCAGAACTGCCACATGAATCCGTCAGAGCTGTAGGTATCGGCTCATTCCAGCCATCTGTCAGCATATTGTGATATTAATTTTCCTTTCCCAGCATCTACAAATACTCACAAAAGGTTATACACGCATGTACACACACACGCTTGTATCAGATGACCACACACACACACACACACACACACACACACACACACACACCAATACCGCACATGACTGCTGCTCTGCCCACCACTCACTCCTGACTGCTATCCTTTGTTGCTTGTCTGAGGCGCCCCAGGGCGTGTGTGTGTGTGTGTGTGTGTGTGTGTGTGTATGTGTGTGTGTGTGTGTGTGTGTGTGTGTGTGTGTGTGTGTGTGTGTGTGTGTGTGTGTGTGTGTGTGTGTGTGTGTGTGTGCGTGTGTGTGCATTTGATTTGCATGTGAGTAACGGACACAATGTGATACGTGATGATTGATATGTGATTGATTTGAGCTTCCCTGCGTGTGCCTGCATGTGTCTTTATATAGTAAAAGATGCAGAGAGCGAGAGCAATTTATTTGGAGGGAACATTTAGCAAAGAGCCTGAAGGACCATCATGTTCTCCACCTCAGGGCATTACAGGGCAGTCACGCATTACATCACAAGTTCTCCTCTTGTCCTATTAAAGTGCTGTCAAGCAGTTAATCAACATGATGTACAACAAATTCACATTGTACTTATGTTTAAAATAAGACTCCCCAGTTGTTTCACAGTGTAACGTCTCAGTGTACTCACACATTAAAGCATAAACCAAATAAATGATAAATATTTTTTAAAGGGAATCACATATTGAAATATGTTCAGAAAGTTCGTCCCAAAGCTGTTGTAGAAGTTCCCACAAATGTGTTACACTATCCCAAACCATCACAGATTGTTCCAACACCGCCTTTTTACAGACAGAGGGTTTGTAATCCAACAACCTGCAGGAATTGTTTGCATTAACTTTCCGGGCTTCGTTTACTTCCATTGTCGCCAGGAAGCTGGAAGTTAACCACTTTCAATTCCACTATCCAAACCCTTTATCCATATAGGGTCGCGGAGGGGCTGGAGCACAACCCCAGGTGACACCGGGCCGTGCTGCCCCTGGAAGTTTCTGACATTTCTATTAAATTTAAATGATTTTTTTTACCGTGAGCCATTTTACCACTTACCTTTGTAATATTTAAGGTTCTTCTCTCGGATTTAACTGCTGAAATTTCAATAAAAATGGTAAAAAAAAATTAGGATGCTCCAAAACTTATGAGCGGTGGTGTACACCCCCACCCCCACCCACCACCCCCCCGCCTGAGACCCAGACCCACTGAAATGTTTGACTGGGGTCATGTGGTGATCCATGAGACAGACGCCTACAAGCAATTATGCGAGATCCATTTCCATGCCGTAAAGGCAAAGATCAGATCAGCAGACAGGGGAACACATGGCAGACATTCATTCAACAAGCATCTGATGGTTGAAAATACCATGTTCGAAATGACTGACTGTCTCATATGGCGGTGGGTGTTTGCATCAGGTGCAGGTGTTGCTTTTGTGAGCAGGGTAATAACTACTCACTGCAGCAGGTCGTTTTTAGCTGGATGCCTGTCAGTGACTGTTTATGTATAAGGGACATTTAGATAAAGTGACATCCCCCGTATTGAATAGAAACTTACAGGAGACTGGAGAAGAAGAGACAGACGGCAGGGAAGAAAAGTTTTCTCTGGCCTCACTGACTTAGCTTGATATGACTTGGTTTGGATTGACTTGATTTTATTTTTGCCTTGGCTTGATGCGATTTGGATTGACTTGAAATAGAGTTTATTTTATCTTGTGTGATTTAGCTTGACTTGACGTGATGTGACTTTGTGTGACTTTACTTGATCTGACGTTACTTTATGTGACGTGTCTTGAATTGGTATGATGGATGGATGGATGGATGGGGGATTTGCTTTGGCTTTTGCTTGGCATGGCCTAGGCTGACATGACTCACCATCTGATTCACGATCATTTAACCCACCCTGACAACACAGGTACTTTTCATGCTCAGGTCAGTGAGCCAAAAGGGAACATGGACATCTTCTCTGAACAAATGTTGTTTACTCTAATGAAGACATAAGGACAGATGGCTGCCTTGCACTCGTGCCCCTCTGCTTGAACACACACACACACACACACACACAGGTTGAAATGCTCTTGTGACTCAGCATCGTTGCGTCAATACTGCCCTCAGCACCGTGCCTTCTGCCTGTTAGCCTGGGCGTCTGGTCGTGACTGATGCTGGAGGGAGAGAATAAAGGACAGGGGTGATGAGATGAGCACCTGAATAGATAGGAAATTACCCAGGCTGTGATGATAAAGGCTTTTTAAACAGACACTGTTGTTGCTGCTGCATACACATGAACTAAAACCATCACGGAAAACTGATACCATTCTGTTGCTCAGAAACAAAGCCACCGATCTGTATACAAGCAAATCACATCCACTTATATCACTGTTCTTGTGAAAACTTTTCCATTTATTTCTAACTCTTACCCTGTGACTAACCTAATCCCAAATCAAATAAAAGTCAATTTTATTCTTAGCCCCCAGTGTTAACCAACTGAATCCCTACACAAACAAAACGTGCTGTTACAGCCGGAGTTACGGGCTAAAACAATTTCTTGGTGAACAGCAGTCGGGTGCAGTGACTTCCCAGAGTCTTTCCACCACAGCGAGGAAGCCACACAACCACTGGAGACACCGTGCAAGAAGTGCTAGCGCATAAGTGCATAAACCCCTCATTACGAAGATGAATGCACTGACAGTTCAGCGGTGTAAAAAAGCACAGGCACTGGTCCGCAGAGACGTGGAACAAAAATGATGGTCGGATGAGTCATCCTTCACCCCATTCTCAACAAGTGGGCGCTGAGTGCATGTGCGGCGCTCACCAGGAGGACGGCACAGGCCTGAATGCTCAACCCTGCTGGAATGATTTGAATCCACTCGTCCCCTCAGAGGGTAAGGTCACTGCAAATCAATATGAAATGGTTCTGACTCATCACCCACCTGATAGGATTTTTTTCACCTCAGGATACCTGGCTAAAGATGTTTGCTTTGACTTATTCTAATCTCTACAGACTGAACACTTACTGTGGCGTGAATCCCAGTCCTGATTATATGGTAATTCATAAGATTATCATGTGAAACATTCAGAATTAAGCAATAGAGATACAAGAATTCACATTCAACATTCCTTCATCCTCTTTTCACCCATCATCTCTGCTCCAATTAGTTTAAT